AAAATTTCTTTTTTTCTTAGGTTTCAAACTTTTACTATTGCCGATCACGATGATGATATTTTATTCGATGAGAATGAAAAATGAAGATAATGAACATTCATATCAAGGTAAATGACGTGCGTAGTTTTATCTCTTAAAATAAAATTAATAAAAATTCGAATATTACCAATGATTTCACTTATGTAAATTATCAAACATTGATTCAACAATAAACATGGATTGATTAAGAACAACTGAAGTTGATTGAATAATTTGTTTTTTTTTTTACATCTTCAAATAAATAATCGATTTAATAATACACAATGGCGTATTAGGATAAGAAATATTCATCATACATGATATTTTCATGTAGATTTTCAAACATATCATTTAATTCTTGTACATCCTATTGAAGAATTAATTCATCAAACGAATATAATTGTACTTCTTATTAACGTAATTAATAATTAAATTCATATGAATACAAGTAAAGTAATAAAACTATCTTTAACTTTCTTTATTCTATATGAAAAAATATTTCAATTGTTGTTGAAATTGTACGTTTAACTATTGAAAATTTTTCAGATAATTGTACAATATTCAATTGATACAGTAGAAATCATATAATTTATTTTGTATTAATCCATATTCAGGTTCAATAATTATTATTAATTGATTACTACAAGATCTCAATGTCAAACATATTTATTAACAATTATTTATCATTGTGAACATAATATAAATATACCTAATAGAAAAATGAGTCAGAACTTAGTACATCTGATAGACCTTAATGAACTATAAAACAGTTCGTGTTTATAGTCTGTTTCTGAAAACTCAACAAGCTAGTTTGCGTAAAATAATTTCAGCATTGTTATTGAACTAATGAGGGAACCTCTCTAGCTGTCAAATGACTTTTCAGCAGAGACCATGTTGAGTACTAGTGAGTAACAGAAAAGTAGAGAATGGTTATATCTTTGAAAAATTTGATTTCTTCTATGTCACACTACCACACAAGGTGATGTCATATGTATGTTGAATATCGACTGTTAATAATAGTCAGTACCTTTCAAGCAATTCAAAATGATATAAAAACATCGAGGAAAAAAAACACTGGCCACATAAAGAAATCTCCGGGAGATTACTGTCGACACATGATTTAATGTCTTTTTTACCTGATATTTAGTCAATTTCGATTAGAAAAATACGATTTAGATAAAGACTAATATGATATTCTAAATGAGCATCCAATAATGAGCGGACTTACGTGTACTTCAAGTATTTTTGCAACCTTTTTGTTTTTGTCGAAAAAATTCATCCCGGGTTCTCTCCTCAGAGTTATTTGGTCAAAGAATGAATTTTATAGAAAAGTTATTTTGACAGTTGGAATCAAGATGTGAGGTTATAAAACGATAGTATAACTCCAAATAGCAGATGAATAAATAATAAAAACAGCATTTTCATGAAATTCATTTTTGATCCAACTCTGAAAATCTACTAAATCTCAGGAAAAAAACCATAAAATCATGTCTTGAAAATCGTCTCCTTGGGATTTCTTTATATGATCAGTGTTGTTTCCTTGATGTTTTAATATCATTTTGAAACGCTCGAAAAATACTATGGAACTATTTGAAAAGTGCTCTGAGATTGACGATAAGATTGGTTGACGTTGACATATGTTTTTAGTAGGCAATACACTGGCACTAGTGGCATATCAGAACAATGTGCTCCATGTGAGATCATATCGGATAGTATTTTTTCCGTGATATTTTTATAACATTTTGAACCAATTGAAAAATACTATCGAACTATATGAACACTAGTCTAGTGAGTCTTTGAAATGGATAGGTAAAAAGAGCTGGTCATCTTTAACAACTCGGTACAGTGTACATACAACAACTATTGGCAATTTTGAATCAACTGAAACATAGCATAAACAAATGTTATAGGTCTAATTCTACCAAGGATCACTTTGGAACACCTTGAGTGAGAGTTTGACGTGATAGAAATCATAGCTTTTTTTAGAGGGTCGATTTCATCAGTTATCAATTCCCTCCTTTGATTGCTTCCTTCACATTGATATTCAAACATGAGCAAAAAAACAATCGATTAACTATCTTCATTATCAAAAGAGATAATTGTACTTTATATTGATAATAGATGTCAAGCACACATACTTGTCTGAAACACATTGAATTTCTATGTACATTCACTATTGCTTGTTTTAGAAGATTCTCCATAAAACTCTACTTCTACCGATGTAAACATTAACATTTCAAAAAAGAATTTCAATGAACATTGTTATTGTTGTTCATTTAGAAAGCAGTATCGATTTTTTTGGAATTCATATCTGTAGCCGACAATAACAAGAAACATTTTTATAAAAGCTAGCACTATTTTAGAACATATTTTTCGAATTTATAGAAATCATGTCTCCGATTTTGAATTCAAAATTTCTTCTTCGTAAACAATAATACTCAATATCCTTAAAATATTGTAGACATAGACAAAAAAAATATACTCTTTTATTTCATACGAAAGTCTTCTCGCTCAGCATCAAATTCGGCACAACTATGCTTACACAAATTCTTAAATTTCAGAAAAAAAAATATAAGACCGTAATAGAGCAACTAGATGTCTATTGATCTTTGTAATTTTGTGTTCATAAAAGAAATTTATCTAGGTTAAACAATCCTATGGTAAGATCTTATAAGAACTCAATGTGTGGTCTTTCATGATCATACAAGATCATGTGAAAATCGTATATGATCTTGTAGGATTTTATATGCCAATCTTAAAGCTACCTTTTCTGATAAAATCATACTATACGATTCTTGTATGATCTTAACGTTAGATCTTATACCATTCATGTATGATTTTCTTCTATATTCGGTTTTTATCATTTTCTTTTCTTCAAAAAGTCTTTTATATTTATTTGTATTTGTATATTTATTTAGAAAAATTACAAAAACTAAATGAAAACACAAATATCCATTTAGAAAAACATTAAAAAAAAATAATTACAGTTATTTTTTTCTAAATTCAATCATTAAAATGATCTAAAATGGAAAAAATAAATAATTTCAACAAAAGACAATATAATTCTATTTAATCCAATTCATTTAATTATTTGTAGACTGATTTTTTAGCAGATCAGTACCACTACATAGATGTATTTTCAATGCTAAAAAAAGTAGTGTCTAAATTAGAATATATTTAATCGATTAAATACTTATTTAAATGTTCAAAACTATCGCTATAGAAACTAGTTGTATAAGTGAGATCTAAAATTATGACTTTATGCGATCATACAAGATCTTACAAGATTCACAGTAGCATCTTATAGTTAATTAAATATTAAATCTTGTAGTAAGATATTTGTATGATTTCGTAAGATCATACAATATTAATCTCACGATATTAGATGATCAGTCAGATCTTTTCAGACCTTATACAATTTTCGTAAGATTTTTCTACCTGAGTATTTGAAAAACGATTTTGTAGAAAAATAGTTATTTATTGAATAAATTCATAACAAAAAATTAAAAATGATTTTGGCATGAACATTGTCCGTTTTTGTGAAAATGATGGATTCTATTGGCATCACGAACAATAATATCAATTTGACGAATTTTAGCTATAAGTTTCGTAGCTTCATCTTAAATTAAAAAAAACAGAGGATACATGTATTATTAAGAACCATCGAGATGAAAAAAGCTAACTTACGACAATCACCGCAAACTCGAAGATTTTTAGTAATTTGGATAAAATCTGGAAGAGGTCGTTGAATCAAATTATACGCTATTGCTAATTTTTCACTATGACCACACAACACTGATTCGATAGTTTCTTCTTCACGTAATTGACGAGTTATCCAAGAAGAATCAAATTTATAATCATGTTCATTTAATTCAACTGTTAAACGATCAAGTTCAGCATAGATTTCTGATGATCGTGGATGTGAATGATCATGAGCTTTGAATTGCTAGAAAATCAACAAATTTTCTTTATATTCTAATGTTCAATAGAAATATTTCACCACTATTTCACCATTTACATAAGTCCATGATAATCCCATTTTGACTTTAGATCTTAATTCTTTTATTTGATTATATCGAAAGTTCTTTGCCAGTTGATGTTCACCAACAGAAGAATATATGTTCGCAAGAAGAATTGCACCTGATACAAGACCTTGTTTTGCATCAGGAAACAAAGATTTCATTCGATTATATATCTTTTCAGATAAATTATTATTGCGATTATTACGTGCACCAGATAGTAAACACACTAAAACAAAAACAAATAAATAAATAATATATTAATGTAGTATTATGAAAAATACTTACTATACATCACAAAATTAGGTGAGTTTTTCTTTTCATATTCATTTATCAACTTTTGTGCTTCATCAAATAAAAACAAACGACTTAAACAATCAATCTTAAGTATAATATAAAATAATCATAGCTAATATAATAAATAAAATAGAAAGACAAACCATAACAGCAACAATTTTTTCTGTTTTGAAAGGTATTTCATTGTATATATTCTGAGCTTCATGAAGAAAACCCGAATGAGAACATGCATTCAAAACACAAATATGTGTAACTTCATTACGTAGATTATTCGGCATCTCTCTATGTAATTTAATAGCTTCCGAACCCATTCCATTAAGTCCAAATCCATTAACTTCAAAAAACAACTATCCAATATTAAAAAAAAACAAAGAACTTGGATAAAAGTAAATAAAGCTACTCATTGCAGTGTATGTCACTGTATCACGATCATCAACTGATTTATATACATTTTGTGCTTTTTCAACAGAACCACATTTACCCTATATGAGAAAAAAAAAGAAATTGTAAATAATATGAACTAGTCAATGGAGATCAAAAATCAATATTTACCCACATATGAATTACTGAGTTTTGTATTTGTTTTTGATTTTGAATATGCAGTGGAACTTGATAAATAATATACTGACTTTGCCGAATCATACCAATTTTTGAACATGCACCAA